ACGTTCTTGTGGAGAATTCGCGTTCGGCGGGGTCCTTGCTTTTATTGATTTGACGGCGACCTACAACGTGCTTTGTAGCGTCATTATTGCGAATGCAGAACGTTTGGAAACATTTCAGAATACAGAGGGGGGGAAAGAGCACGATCCATGTTACTACCGCAGCAACATCAATTCTAATTTATGTCCCAACTTGTCCCACAACTTTTCTCAGGTTTCCATCAGATGCTTCATAGATAGAATAGTCTTCATATGTTTAACTTTTAAAGGGAGCCTTCAATTTTCACTTAGACTTTTTTATTTCCATTTATAACTAAAAACATAATTTTAATAGAAGGCGGAACACAGAAGATGAAAAAAGGATTGATGAATCCAACTGTACAATAGAATTGGTGAAAAGAACCATTTCATGTCACTGTACAATAGAATTGGTGAAAAGAACCATTTCATGTTTGAAAACTACATTCCAATAACGTATTCGTCCCAAGATTTAATTTCCCAAAATGGACGGCCTGAACGTTCAGCCTCGTCATGCTTCTTGATCGCTTCGACGAACATTCGCGCAACTTTCAAATCCGTAATAAGAGGAACTAAAAACGAGAGGTCAACAGGTATCAAACATTTCCAATTTACCGCCACAATTAACTGCAGAACGTCGAATCTGATAACCTGCAGATTCTGAAGATCGTGCCTCCAAACTTCCAGAAATGTTAATCACAATTGAAACCTTTCCGGTCTCGATCAATTCAACTGCATTTGGCTTTTCCGGGTGCCGTGGTTTGTGCGCTTTAAACAATTTGCCACTAAACCTGTCTTCGCCAACAGAAGGGGTGGCAAGCAATTCCTGGATAAGGCTTGATTTAGATGGCGTTCGGAAACTTGAGCTTTGACCGTCTGTCTTGATTTTAGGTGTTTCAGCGCGACGCATCAAAATGCCCTGCTGCTCATGTCGCTGGTTCACGTCCTCATCGTCTTCATTGTCATCTCCTTGCTTATACAACTCATCCGACTCTTTCAAAAAATCATACGTGCCCGGAGTGGCGAAGATCGTAAATCCGAGGTCGCACATCAAACGAGCTTCACTGAGAAATTCGACCTGAAGGGACATTTTTTAGACAGCATGCATGACAATCTCACCTTGGCTGCGAATGTCCCAACCGAAAGAAGAGCACTTTTTCCAGGCATTTTGAAGCCCGATGCAAGCATCGCCTTCAATAGTGCTTCGTATTTGGATGTCCCAAAGCAAGCCACTTCCCCGGTGGATCTCATTTCTACGCCGAGAATCGGATCAGCGCGTCGCAATCGGGTGAAGGAGAAAACGGGTGCCTTCACACCAACAAAATCCAAGTCGTTCAAGTTGATCACCTGCGAACGCACTGGGGCTTTCACCATGACTCTGAGGGAAATTAGTTGGAAGATGAACCACGCTTTCAACTCACCTCGTTGCTAGTTCAATAAAATCGAGATTAAATGTTTTTGATATGAATGGAAACGTTCTTGATGCCCTCAAATTGCACTCAATCACTTGGACAGTGTTTTTCTTGCACATGAATTGAATGTTGAATGGACCAGAAATAGCGAGGGCCTTCGCAATTTTCTGGCTGATTCGTCTCACTTGCCTAACAGCACACAATGTCCTTCGATAAAGCCTCCAGCTTGCCTGATAGTTTCAGTGTAGAGTTTTTGAGCAGGTAGAATTAACGTTGCGTCTCCGGAATGGACTCCTGCGTTTTCGACATGCTCGGATATCGCGTAGTTCAATATTTCGCCTCCCGAAGCAACTGCGTCCATTTCGACTTCTTTCGCGTTGTCGATATACTTTGATATGACAACCGGGTGGTCCGGGCTGACTTGAGCGGCACCCATTAAAAAACTACGAGAGAGAAAAATAGTAGAAGAGTGGATCAAATAAATAATTTACTTTTTTAACTCTGATGATGCAACAACGACTCTCATCGCAGCGCCAGAGAGAACGTAAGAGGGACGGACAAGAACGGGGTATCCAACAGATTTCGCGAAGGACAGAGCCGCATCGAATGATGTGAAAGCGCTCCAAGCTGGCTGATCGATTCCAAGCGAATCACAGAGCTGACTGAATTTATGACGATCTTCTGCTTGATCAATGGATTTAACGGATGTCCCAAGAATCGTCACTCCATATTTATCAAGATCTGATGAACATAATGAACCCAATGGGAGGGACAATAAATACGCACCTAAGGACAGATTGTTGGGAGTTTGCCCTCCGACAGAAACAACAACTCCATCTGGAGATTCGAAGTGACAAATTTCGAGAACAGTTTCGAGATCAAGAACTTCGAAAAACAATCTGTCGGATTCGTCATAATCAGTAGACACTGTTTCTGGATTACAATTGATGACAATCGCTTTATGTCCCAAAGAACGAAGAGTACGAACACATGACATTGCAGACCAATCAAATTCAACAGAAGATCCGATACGATAACAACCACACCCGAGAACGATAATAGGACCACGATCCGAATGGACGAGATTTGAGTTGCTATAAGGAATAAAATCATTTGATGAAAACAAACCTACTTACAATGTGGCGGAGACAGATGTCGGTGATTTGAGAACCGGAGACCGTGGGGCTTCCGAGTTGTCGCTTTCGTTCGACTGTAGTCGTGACCTCGTTCCGGATTTACGGGGGCTCTCGACGGGAGATCGGCATGACACCATGGACAGAGGGTCGACATCGTGCTCGATGCCCTGATAGGTGAGATAGAGATAGTTGGTAGCTGCAGGGAATTCAGCAGCTAGGGTGTCAATCTGCTTGACGCTTGGTCGGATGTTCATCGAAATGCGTAGATTACGAATTTGTTCTTCTGGAACGGAAGGTTTGAGTCGGAATCCGATATGACGATCAGAAAATCCTAGAATCTTCAGCGAACGAAGATTGTCTTCATTTAAATTGTCGATAGTTGAACGAGAAAGACGAGAGTCAACAAGATGGATCCGATAGAGTTTGGATAAAAACCATCGATCGATTCGTGTCAGCTGGAAAACCTCTTCTACAGATACCCCGCAATGGAACGCGCGCGCTATCGCCCAAACTCTACATAAAAGAGAACGTTCAATCATTGAAATTTTAATTCCCATCATTGAGATTTTAATCTACTCTTGAAGAAGTTCTCACCTTGCCGGTGAAGGTTCTCGCAGTTCAGCTTTGAGTTCTTCAAGCGAGGACTCTTTGTATCGATCATGATCAAATCCTCTCGCATTTTCATCAACCATACGAAGAGCTTTCTGGAAAGACTCCTCAAATGTTCGACCGACCGCCATGACCTCTCCAACCGATTTCATCGAGGATCCCATTGTTTTATCAACGTAAGCAAATTTCGCCAGATCCCACCTGCGTATCAATGATGTCCCAAAACAGATGAATTTCACTCACCGTGGCACTTTCGTAATCACGTAATCTAGCGCAGGCTCGAAACATGCAGACGTCGTTCTTGTAACAGCATTCCGAATTTGTAACAAGTCGATGCCAAGTCCCAATTTTGCAGCAATATACGCCAAAGGATACCCCGTTGCTTTCGACGCAAGTGCGGAACTTCTTGAGAGTCTTGCGTTAACTTCGACGATAAAATATTCGTCTGAATGAGGATCAACTGCGTATTGGATGTTACACTCCCCGACGATTCCGAAGTGCCGAACCACCTTAGAGAAGAGAGTCCCAAATGTGATGATCAAGAATTCCATTACCTTTATTGCGGTTTCTCGTAATTTATAGAACTCGTTGTTTGATAATGTTTGAGATGGTGCGACTACGATTGAGTCGCCAGTATGAATTCCCAGCGGATCGAAATTTTCCATATTACACACAGTAATGCAATTGTCTTTGCAATCACGAACAACTTCGTATTCGATCTCTTTCCATCCCCGCAGACTTTTATCGATAAGAACCTCATAAGGAAAGAAACAACTCAAAAAGAGAGACTAGATCAACAACAGACATGGACTGACTAGATCAACAACAGACATGGACTGACTAGATCAACAACAGACATGGACTGACTAGATCAACAAATGGACTCACCTGCTTCGAATGATTGAATGCCTCCTTGCATAAACTGATTAACGATTCTTCGTCTTCAGCAAAACCACTTCCCAACCCGCCAAGGGAGAAGGCGGCGCGAACGAGAACAGGAAATCCAAGCAAGTTTCCGGCAACTCGACACTCGTCTAAAGTCCGTGCTGCACAACTTGGTGCGCAACGTTCGCCGATGTCTTTCAATCGCTTGGCAAATAGATCTCGATCCTCAGTTTGGATGATTGATGATATGGGAGTACCGAGAACCTCGCACTTGTATTTATGAAGAACATCTAAGAACGAGACAGAAATTCACACAGGCCTGAAATTCTATTGGGATTGAGCAAGTCGTTCTCGTGCACTTATTTCCAGATGGCATGAACAGTCAACAGCATCATTGTTGTGGAAGGGCTTACCGCGACGATGAAGCTCCACTGCACAGTTCAGTGCCGTTTGTCCTCCAAATCCGCAGAGAATCCCTTGAGGTCTTTCACGGCGAATGACTTTCTCAACAAATGTGGGAAGAACAGGAACGAAATAAACTCGATCGGCAAGATGTGAAGAGGTTTGGACAGTCGCGATGTTGGGATTCACGAGAATTACTTCAAGGTTAGACTCTTTTAAGGCCTTGATCGCTTGACTCCCGTTGTAGTCAAATTCCCCCGCTTGGCCGATGGACAAACCCCCGCTTCCAAAAGTAAAACTCTAAGACGCTGGACTGGGAAACTGATCGGAATTGTGTGGACTGGAGGGGAACGATTCCCACTCTGAATTTGATACAAAAACTGCTCGAATAGGAACCACGTATCTGTTGGTCCGCCGCAAGCCTCTGGATGAAATTGAACGGAGAGCCATGGCATCGATGTGTGTGTGATTCCCTCGTTTGTTTGATCATTTGCGTTGATGAAGACTTCCTTCCATCCTTGTGTTAAACTTTTAGCATCAACAGCAAATCCGTGATTCTGCGGAGTGATGTAACATCGAGTTGTCCGGAGGTCCACTACCTAGAAGAATGGATAGAAGCATCACTTCATTAAGACGCTATTTGGGACGCTTACGGGTTGATTCATTCCTCTATTTCCGAATTTCATTTTGAATGTTTTGGCTCCAGAAGCAAGAGCGAGCAATTGATTTCCCAAACAGATTCCAAAAATCGGTTTTCCCAATTGCATGACTTTTTTGATGTTCTCTATCGTGATGTCGCACTTCATGGGATCCCCAGGACCGTTTGATAAGAAGAGGCCGTCGTAAGATGCTGGATCTCGATCACCAAAAGGATCGTCCCATGGGACAACAATGACTTCAAGGGGGGCAGAGTCTTGAGAAAGAAAATGCCGAATGATGTTTAATTTAATCCCACAATCCACGACGAGGATTCGATAGCCCGTCTCTCCATTTTTCAGCTTCTAAGAATGACAAACAAAAATAGGTGTTTCGGTAGACGAGTGCACCTTGAAAGCCTTTGAATGAAAAATCCGAACATCTTTGCTGGAAACTTCTTCAACAAGATTTCTTAAATTTGGATCATCCAACGGAATGGATGAAGGAATTGCGTCACCAATCAAAATTCGACCAAGCATTGCGCCATGCTGACGAATATGTTTGGTGACAGCCTGAAGCGTTAGTGAAAATATTGACAGTGCAGAAACCATTTTTGTGGCTACCCACCCGGGTATCGATACCTCCGACTCCAGGGATCTTGTGTTCAGATAGCCATTGTCCCAATGTCCGCTTCGACGCATAGTGAGACGCAGTATACGAGTAGTCAGCGACAATCAAACCGCGCACGAAGATTTTATTTCCTACAAGAAGCATCATTCGAACAGATTCCATCATGACATCGATCACCCTCGAAGTATTTCGGCAATCCATTTTCATCTAAGACGTCCTCAGCTACACCATAATTTCCAACAAGTGGAAATGTCAAAGTGAGAATTTGACCACAGTAGGAGGGATCTGTTAACGCTTCAGGGTAACCAACCATTCCTGTGTTGAATACAACTTCGCCTGAGAATGGAAACGCTTATCAGGGACATCCAGACGAAAAAACAGACCAGATGTGCTTTGAGGGTAACCGAACGAATACCCATTGAAGACACGGCCATCTTCAAGCACGAGGCGGGCAGGTGGAGCGTCGATCCCACCGAAGCCAGATAGATCCTCCTGAATTTCGATGCATAACAAATCAAAATCTTACAATCGCGCATCTTACTACTGATATTGATCTCAGTGAGGCCATGGTACTTGCTAAGTAGGAAATCTTGTGCGCAAGTGTCCCATCCGAGCAGACTTGCGCCTAATGGAACGTCATGCGTATAAGGTACACGATTTTTAGATAATGAGCACACGTTCTCGCCGGACCCGTCGAGTGCATACTAACGAATCTGATGAAGAAGAGGATTTTGTATATCAAGAGGGAGATTTAACAACCGTTGAATCAGTTGATGGAATCGACGTAAGCTTGAGCATAAAGGATCTTAACGTTCTTTTTTTTAGCTCGAATTTCGAGTTCGCGTACTCAGCGATCTTTTGTTATGTCCCATCTGCCATGGATTCTTTCGCGACGCAATGACAATTAAAGAGTGTTTGCACACATGTAAGATGATGACGATTCATCGAGCATCACCCGTTTCTCTTATCAGTCTGCAGATCTTGCATTATACTTCAATTGCACCAGGGCTTAGATTCATGTCCTGTGTAAGTCCTCCAACATGTTCGGCCTGTATCTTAAGTTGATGTCCAGATGTTCAAGCCGTATTGCAACTCATATTGATGAATCAATTCAGTGAGTGCTTAATTTGAGTACATAATGTTGCATTGATAACTTGTTCAGACGTGACGTTACAGTTCAAAATTTAGTGGATAAATTATTTCCAGCCTTTGCAACTGAGGAAGCAGAGAGCAAGGCCCAACTCTATGAATTCATCGGTAAGCATTCTCATAGTAATTCATTCCTAATTTAATTTTTGTTGCCAGGATTATCTGAGAGGTCTTTAGAAACAAAGGGACCATCGACGCCATCTGTCATAAAGGAAGACGCTTCCGAAAAATGTGTTTTGGACGGAACTTTAGAATGGTTGCAAAGGCTTGCCGTTCCGGGTAGATATGTTTGTAACGCATCGTGCAATAACGTTTCTTCTTTCAGATGGATTTCATTTAGACAAACACCATTCCTTGTTGATTTCACTCCATCCCGATGAGTCTGTTTCAATGAAATGGAGTCCTTTCTATTTCCACTTACTTTTTCAGATCCACACTCTCCGGTTTGAAGCTACCAAAGCCCTTCATTCGAACATCCGCTCAGATTCAAGTGCAACGTCTCGCCGCTTATATCGCATCGAAAGTTGGATTAGAATCATCGCAAATTGCGCAGATTGAGCTGCTGATAGAAGGACAAGTTCTCGCCCATTCCCACACACTTGAATTTGTTTGGTGAGTTCAACCGAATGCCCAACAGCGATTCTTTTGTTTCAGCCGTTCACGCCGTCTGAATACGCAACGTTGCGTTCCTGTTCTATTCCGCCTTGTTGCTAGACACGTATGAGTGTCACGCCCCAGTTTGCTTCAGTCCTCATCGCTGGACAGAATTACTTACAAATAAACAAAGCTACAAAATTCAAAGAAGTTTCCTGAAGTCAGCATTTGTCATCGGCTTCACTGCCTCCATCGCCTCCTCTTGGGGAATTTCGTCTGATTGATTCGCATCCAGATGCAATTTGGCTTTCGGCGCTTGTCTTCGCGATTTTTGTGGGGGCGCTTGCTCCACCACTTTCGGCGCTTGCTCCACCACCTTCGGTTCAGTTGGAACACGATGCGATACGGAGACAATAATTTCTCGATCATCTGATAGATCGATCATCGCTTATAACGGAACAAGTGATAACTCACCAAGATCACTCCCATCCAACATTCTTCCGCTAAATGCATCGCGATCTGAAACATAAGTGACGAATCCGAAGCCTTTCGATTTTCCATTTCCATCTCTGCAAATCATGATTGAATCAACTTCGCCACACTGAAAACGAGCAATGAAGGATAGTTTGAACGGCTGAAAACTTACGGATGAAAAATGAGAGCGAAGAGATTCTTCTGAAGTCTTGAAACTTAAATTTTTAACAAACAACGACTTTGATTCTGGTTTTGGAATCGATGCTTCCAGCTCGTGTCTTTCCTTTAGACGTCTTTTTTCAATCTATGGTTCCGACATTAATCCCTTCTTAATTATTACACCATACCTTGCTCTGCGGAGCCACGGTCCATCTGTGGCGCTTCATTGGAATTGAAGGCGCCAAAACAAACGGTTCGAACACTCCAGGCAGTTTCTGCACGTCGGCATTCTTTTTCAAATTCAATGAGTAGAATGCTTACAAGTTCATCTTTCTTGATGTGGAGCATTGCTTTTGCGTCATCTTCACAATCAAAATCCACGTAACCATAACTGACGAGCAGAAGGAAATGCACTTGGACTTCTCAGCCACTCACCCTCTTAGCTGGCCGTCAGGGTCGCGTTGTAGGCGTATCGCAGCAGGAGTAATTTTCCGATCCAAACATTTGCTCGAAATTTCTTGCAATGCACTTAGAATTGCTTCTTCTTGTCGCGGTGTGCTTCGTTGCTCGAATGTCACCTCAGCCCCATAATAAGTGGGAATATTCGAAATAAAGAGAGTTTTTGGTTCATAAACAGAAACAGTTGGACGTGAAATTTCAACCTGAATCACAAGAGGGATCAAGTTGAATCAAAGAAGCCTTACTTTCAGTGGTCGCTCATTAAGAGTGACGTCATGAACTTTGGCCCGTGCATTCTGAGCATTCTCTGGAGTATCAAAACTGATATATCCGAAGCCTTTCGATCGTTTCATAAAATCACGAACAATTCGAATCTGAATAAAAAAGTCTTGTTAACACGCCATTAGAATATTCAAACCTCTAGAAGTCCGCTGCAATCCTTAAACAAGTTTTTTACATCCATCTCCATCACAGCAGCATCAAAATTTGATATGAATAACGTCGAACTTTCTTCTCCATGATCCATTAATTCTTCAGGAGTTTCTCTTGGTTCTCCCGAATTGTGGATGTCACCATCCTGAGGTCTTGTTTGTAGAAAATGCTTTCCTTTGCGCGGAGCTGGCGCTCCAGAATCGACTTCTTTTTCTTCTTCTCTGAAACGAAACGCTTGCAACAAAAACCAGCGCTCATCCCCACCGTCGCGCTTTTTTTGTGACGTGTTTCAGTCCCCGCATTCGAGTTTCTGTCAATTCGCTCTTTGAGCGTTTCTTTCCTGTTTGGCCGAACGCTTCTTCGTCCATTGGAGCCGAATGTTGGGCCGACTCGGAGAAGTGCGGTGCATTCAGCGCAGTATCAAGAGTGTCGGCGTCTTCGTGGCCGGAACCCGCGGAATGGAGTGAGGAACCGGAGAGCGACCTTCGGCGATAAGGAGACCTGAAGAGAAACGCAGTATCAGGAAAAAGGGTTTGGGACACGACCGACATTGCGGAACAGATGGGTTCGACTGCCGGGGCGATTGACGGGTCTGACGATTCGTGTCCGTCCCAAGTTGCTCGAGTTGATTTTTCAATTGCTTCGATCTCGGCGGAACTCAATGGAGTCAATTCTTCTTGATCTTCATCGAAGCGACTTCGTGAAGACGAGCGACTCTTTGAAGGAGATGGAGCACCAAGAACAATTGGTTTCGGAAACTCTTCTGAGGTTCGAGTTGTTGCTTTCATAATTTCCATTTCTTCAGCTTCAGCCGCCAAATTCAACCAAGAAAGTGATCGATTAGTTGGTGAGTTGGATGGTGATAGAAGTGATTGACAATCAGTCCCGCAAATCTGTTGGATCGTTGTTGATCTTGTTGCTGAAGGAGGAAGCAGCGACGCCGAAGACCTTCGACGTTTGCGAGGATTGAGAGGACCGCTCAGAGGAGAAGAAGGTCGCAGAGTCCCAGATGCTTCACTGTGTCCCAAAACCCCAACGAAGCCTCCACTGTCGGATGAAGCATCAGAATACGCGTCATTTTCCGATTCACTCAATCGTCGTCTTCTCTTCTCTCGTCTAAATCGTATTTGATCGAGTGTGACGTTAACGACTTCCTGGAAGAATCAAATCGTATGAAAAACACGAGAACAATTCAACGTACAGAGTCAGATGTTAATTGGTCCGCTGGTGCTGTTGTCGACGCAGCGTCGTCCGTCGTTGTTCCATCGAGAGCTTGTACTGAATCGTTTGGTTCTGCCCATGAAAGACTCGGAATCATCAACTTTTTTGGTCGCTGTTCCACCTCTTTGTATTCAGATCGTGCATTGAAGGAATTCACCAACTCTTCTACAGTTTTTTTCTGTTCTTCGTCGCCATGTTTGTTTTCAAATTGCATCCAAGATGTTAACAACACTTTGAGATCTTTTGTCACCGATTTTTTGCCTAATTGATACAAACACCGAACCTGCGTCACTTGATCACTTCGGCATCGCTGGTCGAAGGCTTTCTGGAGACTCCCAAGCACAAGCACCCAATCGCTTCCGTGAACGGAGAGCTGAAGATCGGCGCTATTCACCAACAAAACCGATAGAAGTGCATTCAAAGATTCTGGTTCAAATGAAGAACTTTGAGAATCAAGAACAGAAGAAGAATTCCATTTTTGTGATACGATGCGTTTCAGTTGAGATGGAGATTCGGAGAGGAGAAGGCGCCCTCCGACTTTTTTTGCCCATTCCGAATCCTAAAAATCAGCCAATGTTTGCATCATATAAAAAAATAAAAAGAAACATACCTTCAACACCTCTGATTCAAATCGCAGCCACTCTATCCAGAGAGTCACTAAACCGGCAACAACTGCTGATGAATCACAAGAATTATCCATGCTGCAAATCTCTTCATCCTCATCACTAAACAAGCTTCCCAGCAATACCCGCTCCGTCTTTGAGAAAACATCACGGACCAAACCCACATCATCAGACCTTTCAGCTGATGACGTTTTTTTCAATTCTTCCTCAGGCGTTTTGGTTGGAGGCTCGTTGTGACTCTCGATAAAAACTTTCCTAGATTGAATACTTTTCCAAAGACAATCTGCTGCTGTGAACGTGAATTGGAGCAAGTCTTGGGGAAGCTGTTTTGCAAGACCGCGTAATCCTCTTAAAAACACTTGTCGGATGCGATCAGGATCTGGATGAGCGGCTTTGCGTAACTTGAAAAAAAACAATTAAAATTGACAACAGGAAGACACATTTCCATACCTGACATCTCAGATATCCCAACCATAGTTGAGATTCTTCAGAGTGATATCGAACCGCTCGATCAAAAATAATGGCAGCTCTGTTGGGATCATCGACGGTATTCAACATCCATGTCACCCACTGATACCAAAGATCAACACGAATATGTCCCAAATCTTCACAAGCTCGAAGGAAAACTATATTGACATGATCATGCTTTGTTCCAGAATCGAGGGACTTCTCGTATGCAATGTATTTATCCCAAGCCACAGACAATTTCTACATTCAGATCAAATAATCGTTTGTTCTCTAAATCTCTTACATTCAGAATTTCGAACTTGTCTTCATCTGCAACAGTTAATTGCATTTCGAATGGTTTACGCGCCTCCCACTCAAGCATTCCTTGCTCTTGATACAACGACTTCATTTTTTGAATTTGAATTTCGCTTGCTTGAAGGGACTCTGGGAGTTCAGCTTCAAAAATCCTGAAGGAAGAAGATCGAGACCCACAGCGATTTCGACTCACATATACTCATCAAAAAGGTCAGGAAGTCCCGCCAATGGAAGTTGCATTTGGCGACTGAACAAGCACCGGATGCGATTAACTTGATGAATAATTCGATTTGAAAGATTTTCCTGCTGAGATGAATGTTTTGGAGTCGGCAAGAAGGGCCGTCCGCCAGTGTGGGAAGAACTTTCAGAAATTTGGGACGCTCCGGAAGCAGCGAAGTCGCCATCACGCCCATGCCGCGCATCTAGACACAAAACACGATCAATCATGGCAACGCACGAAGGAGACTGACTCGAAAATGATGCGACGTCAGAGAACGAAGTGGGTGTGTCTGCCGAAGACTCAATAAAAGGCGACTCTGAGATCGTTGTTGGGAGAACTCCGGATGAAGGCGTCGCAGGTCGGGTTTTTGGTGTGGCTGGTAACAACATTGGCGGAATAACAGCGTCACCTCCATTCTGCTCTAACAAATTATTCAAAAGATGCTCTTCAAAATGACGGTAAAACGACCAAAGCTTTGGCCCTTCTGTAGCATGCAGTCCTAACTCTTTGAGAGCGTGCTCGCATGCACGACGAATCGAAGCATTGGTTATAAAACCAACTGGAGAAGGAGAGGAAGGACCGCCTTGAAACCGTTTTGCCTTCAAGAATTTTAGATATTCGAGCCAAACTTCAACCTGGGGAACTGCCGTAACAGCACGTTTATAGAGCTGGACGACGGAACGACAACGCTGTTCCTCATCGCCATTGGTTGACGCCATAAAATCGATATCATATTTAGCCCAATCGATCCAGAAATCTTCAGTCGCTGCAATAAAGAGACAGAGAAGATTGAAGTGATGATATTGAAGCAAAGAGATGATTGAAGCTGATGGAAGGAGGAAACATACTCGCGCAAAAACAGGCAGCGTGCTCTCTATAATGTTTGGCTTGCGCTTGATCATTGAGAACAATTGAACGCTCAATCATTTCACAGCAGGCCTCGAAGTCGAAAGGGTTGCGTTGTAGGGTCTGATGGAAGGGACATAAGATGGAGTGGATGGAGGGTGATTACCATCTCTGGAGATAAAGAGATTGTAAACATGGTTTCTGATTGTATTCCGGAAGATGTGGGTTTGGTTGACTCTGATGGGAACATATGGATGAATTCTGATTTTCAGTTCTGATTATTACTGACTGTTTAGGAAAATGCCTGACGGACAAAAAGAGGCGATGAAAAAAGACCAAAAGGAAGGAGTTCGTCGGAGGAATGTGGACAGCGTGGAAATGGATTTAAGGAAGGAAGCGGAGAGCGTGTTAAATAAAACCGAAGAGGAGAAAAAGGAGACAGACAATTCTGATGAAGGGTTCACATGGAGGAACGCTCTAAAATCTGTTAATGAGGCTATGGATGCCTTATTCGGCTACAATCTAGGAAATGTATTGAAAGCTATTAATGCCATTATGGTTGTGGTGATTGCCGTCAATGCAGTGCTTCTCAATCGAGAACTTATCCAATCCGACCATCAATGGACATTAATGCCAAGTTTAATTGCAGGATTTTTAGTGTTGTCTTGTGGATTCATATTCCTTCTTAATGTGTAAGTTTCACTTATCCATTATGGTTGCCTTTTATTATATCTATTTTGCTCAGGTGGATCGCAACACTTCCACCAAATGCTCTGATTAAACAACGACCTGAATGATTTTTCTACTTCGTTTCTTTTTTCTAACAAGAAGTCCATTTTTGAATCAGAGAGAAGATTAGAACGATCTTCATTGATTTGAAGAGATCTAAGATGAAAGACTTTTGACCACTTCTATTGATCAACAACAAACTCAACCAATGATGGGAATTCGCTCGAAGATCAATAGAATTGCATCAAGTCTTTCATTCAATGATAATTTCATCATTGTTGAACAAATAGAGCTGATTGGATTGTACAACCAAGTTTTTTATATGTGGACTGTCGATATACAAACCATTTGCGAAGGATCTGTAGGATACTGACGTTGACAAAATGATATAAGTCTTTTAAACATATGAATATATTTACGCGTTGTTTCATCATTGAGAATATGAGCAATCTGAAAGTGGAACATCAAATAGGAAGACAGTCCTTCCTTCTTACCTCAGAGGTGAAAATTTTCGACCGTCCTGCTCTTTCATGTATCCCAACCATTGTGACTCCCATCGGCCATGCAGCATTCCCAATTGATAATTCGATATATTTATCATGAGCTGATCTATATTCTCTATTTTCACATAAAGAAACTATTCCATCGAGTTTGTCTAATATTTGCTGATCAAGACTGATGACAAAACAGACATCAACTTCCTTCTTTCCCAAATCCCAGACTCACTCTTTATGCTTTAATTTCTTCATTAATGGTCTCAGATCCTTCCTTGTTTGTTTGCATTGTGCAGTCTTTATTTTTCCTAATTGGGCACTTCTTTCTTCTTCTGTTCTCTGTTTAAGTTCTGTTTCCCATTCACCCAACATTTTTCTAATCCAACCACGCACACTGCAACAGAGCGGGACTCAAGAAGCAACATTTACTCCACTCACTGCTCTTCTTTCGTTTGCGCTTTTGGCTCCTTTTCCTCCTTTTCCTTTTTATCGTCTTCGTCATCAAAATCTTCATCAAACCCATGAGCTTCAGCATCAGAAAGTCGACGACGTCCACCATGATGATGAGGATCCTTCGATGATAAACTTTGATCCTCTAAAAGTCGTAAAAAGATATTCTGCTGTCCTCCCGCCAACTCGTCTCCATGTTCGGCAATTTCCAGCTCGCACAATCGCTTGTACCTAAATTCCAAGACATCTACCAGCACGGCACCACCCTTTTACCTTCTCCAGTCACTTTCACCATAGTATGTCACGACATGACCCCTTTTTCTCAGCCGTTGAATGACTTCATCTCTCGCTAAGGGAGGCTTTCCTTCTTCATGCTCTTCAGCTTTCTGCCGCTTTGAAGGAGTTTGCTCTTCAATCAAATTATTATTTGAGTCTCCTGATGGCGCTCGCTTGCTTCGAGACAGATGATCCTCCAGTTCCTGGACACAAACACGCCATCAACCATCAGGACAAACATCCTCCCAAAGGCATCACCGTTTCAAAAACTTCTTCCTCTCACCTTCAGGCGCTTCAATTCTTGTTCACGTCGCTTTTCATCTGCTTCTTCAATAGCCTTCAACGCGTTTTGACGTTCTTTTTCTTTGATATCCTTCTGTGAAATCCATTTCTTCCCTCCTTTTTTCAAATCTGTAACAATGAGACACCTGCAGAGGAACAAAAATGCTCGTTTTACCTTCAACATCTTTCTTTTTTTGTTGAACCAAGGCACTCAGCACATCCATCTTACTGGCAAACAGAGTATGCCTGATGATGTTCCCGCGGGGCATTTCTCAGTCTTCAACGCAGACTTTAAATTGAACAGAAATTCGCTTGACGGGTTTCATGTCTGTATATTGCGCTGCTGTTCAACTTTAGGCTGCTAGAAGGAAAAAAAGATAGTGCGCTGTTTTCCAGTCCTGCGTCGAGTATGTTTCTCCTAAGCGTACTCAACGTGCCATTCATATTTTCATCACAATCAGACCAGCAAGCATGAACAATAATCATTGGATTCATGAACATCATGAATTTTTACAAAAAAATGAGCCGCTACGTCAACCACTCGTGAAAACCTACAGAACAAAAACATCTAGAGAAATAAAAAACTAGTTTTCGAATTGCTCAGGAATTTCCACAACGATGTCGAAAATTCTAAAAAAGGAGAAACACATTCAACCAACAGCTACGATCTTCCCGGAGAAGGACGCAGACGATCAGCAGCTCCTCTACTAAGAAGCATCGAATGGATGATTTCTTGGGATGGAGATGGTGGGCCATCATTCAGAACAACACTGTGAATATCGGGCCTTTTACGCGCTCCACTTCCTGTCTTATTCCTCGATTGATTTCTTAAACTTGATTTTTGACGTCCGTCTACAGAGACCGGGGTGAGTTTCTCCGGAGAAGTTCTGTGTTTGGGACACAACCCGTAGTCATCTGCGTCGGGGGAGGAAGACCCATCCGGACTTTCCGCTCGTGGAAGAAGGATCCGTCTCTGGATCAGACCAGAAGTTGTTGTGTCCATCGAGTCCATCGGATCCACTTTTTGTTGCTTCGATTGACGGAATGCACCGATGCGCCGTATTCTCTGCGCCATGACGTCCGGCAGAGTCAAATCGACGTCGCAAGTTCGATCTAGAGGGAGAAAAGACAGTTTTGGGACACGACGTTTTGGGACCACGAATCAGTAAACTTACTCAAAATATAAAACATCGTTTCTTGTTTCGATCTGAGACTTCGTTTCGAATCTTTTGCGATTTCTTTGTCCACACGTTTCGTCGATTCTGCTTCAAATCTTTCTATTTCTTCAAAATGCTACAAAAGTGAACACATCAACCCAATCAATACATCTTCTCACCCTTTCTTGAAGTCTTTGAAATTCAAGCCCGAATTGCTCCTCATAAAGTTTCACCTCCGCTCTTGCTTCTTCTGCTGCACGTTGCAATTCTTCGTTTCTCTTGATTCGCGCATCAAGCACCTTTTGTTGACCTTCAGCTTCCGCTTGGGTCAATTTTCTGATCAAATCTCCTGTATTAATGGGGCTTCTCAACTCATCCGTGTCACGCGATAGTCCTGGAGTTGGAGCAGTGCAGCAGCCCCCGAAAAGCAGATGTGCTGCACTCAGGAGCTCTCCATACTTCTGTTCGTCATGAACGTTCGACATCGGATTCTTTTTCGCGCTCGGTCTGCCCTAAGTGGTTCTTTTTTCCTTTTAATCAATCCCAGGCAGTCATTGAAGCTTCTACTAGAAGTTGACCATTTTGGTCCGTTGCCTGATCCCGTCCAGCTGTATGCAGATGACACGTGCTCTCTCTTCCGTCATGGGAGGATTGACAAAGTGGGGAGCGCTTAATTTCCTCAAATCTCATTCATCTCTGTGAGTCTTCCAAAATCATCCATCGATTATCCGATTTTCATCTCAGGATTGTCTTTCCTTCAGTCCAATTCAATTTCTCTCAGAATATCGTCTCCCAGTTCTGAGAATTCATTATCGCACGCTGGTGTTCGATGCCCATCAATTCAGAAATGACATGTCAACGGAAACTCTTTTGGGACATCCCATCTCGTGTCAGAAGCGATGGAAAAAGAAGCCACCAAAACGTAAAAGTCGCCCCCGGTTGGCCACAACTCTGGAACAATACGCGATCCGTCCGAAGTCCGTCTTTTATATCAAGAAACAATGACAGATAATCATCAATGACAGATAGAGGACAGTATTATATCAATGACAGATTGAATGAACAAAATATCTTTTCTCATTCAGACGAACCCGCGGATGGCGACTGGTAGATCGACTCGGATGTCCCGAAAGCAATTATAAAGTGTCGTCGACTGTTCGCAATTTGATTCATCTGAAAGCGAAAGGTCTTCGAGTCCGACGCGATTTTAGAATAAGAAATCGGCACAGGGTCAGAAAATCTCTTAAGCGACCCGTTGTGATGATTTTCATATCAGATTCTTCGTAAAGGACATTTTATTCCTTCAAATTCCCATTTCAAATCTCCGGATGCAATTGTAACCCCCCTCACTGAATTGCAACATTTAGCAAAACTCCCGAAATCTCAAAGTATGCGTTCATCCAAATACAGAAAGATAATCTATTTGCTATTTGAAAGATAATCTATTTCCTAAGGCGATAAGAGGTTTAATTTTCGTCACACGCTCCATTATGAAGCTTTCTGGGGACCGCCCTCGACGTATAAGGAGCCGAATCAATCAAGATGTCACGTCACATTCAAAGTGAAGGACTTGAATCTAACAGCAGCGTAAGAGGATACTACGATGATTATCATTTCATAATTAGACTGTCACCATCCATTAGATAATTAGATTGTCATCGTCTGGTTAATTGCTTTCAGACAGGAACGGCGTTTGCTTGACGTCGTTGGTGATGAACGATACGACAAGAAAACGCGTCTCGTTGCGCTTGAAGCAGATGAATTCGACAACCGCAACCATAATGCTGCTTATTTAGGTGAGGAAGTTTGACTTCTATCTCTAATATCTTTTGCAGGGGACGTTCTAGAGCGTCTTATGATTGAAGTGAGGAAGACCTGAGTTCAATGAGGAATCAATCCAATCAAAGTCCTAGAGACATTCGCTTCCTGAATTCAATCCAATATCTTCAAAGCCTTCGAGACATTCGCTTTTTTTTTGGTACATTTTATCTAACTGTCGCCGCTCTCTCGTCCCAACAGGTAATTTCTTCTCAAAGATTTATCAGGTCCGTTGTAGAAACTCATAATGTCATCCCCCAATAACGCTACCAAAGCAATTGAAAGCCTGAAGTTACACGAAGCATATAAACGATTGAGCCTCGATGCAACGATCAAAACATCGATTGGAGCTGTAGTTGGATGTAAGATCTTATGAAAAGCTTCTGTCTCCAGTTTTTGTTTTGTAGGGTTGCTTCTATATAGATTTCCAGTTCAACGTCGAAATCTCGCCAGTCTCGGCGGCGGCGTCGGTTTAGGGTGGAGTTTGAAGGAGGTTGATCTCTACTTGAAGGACCCCTCAAAAGAGAGGCTTCCAAACACTATGGATCAATTCAAAAATTGCCAAAATAATGTCCAATCGACTTATCAGAACGTCATGAATAAGATTTT